CTAGTTTTGCATTGTTTTTACTGATTTGTTACTTACAAACACTAATATTTATATAATATGTGTCAAAACGGTACCGCTGTTGTATCACTACAATTATGAGTGGAAAGGTGACATTTTTGAAATTTATTTGCTTCTTTGATTCATTGGTAGAACTGATTCATACGTCAAAAAACTTGATAAAGTCTGTAGCAGTGTAAAACCACACTGTTTACCAATAAATTCGTGAATTAATTCATGAAGAACTTCGTCAATTTATTCATGAATAAATTGTCAATGTAAAACAGCTATAATAAATTTAAAATATCAGCATTTGAATATGTATTGTTTTCCATTTCTTATAAACACTAAATTAAACTGTCACTGCAAGACAAATTGACAGTGTGGTTGTTTGTTTTGTTAAAAATTCCACAGCTATCCTCGCAAGAAATTACATGATTTTAGGTGATTACATAAAAAATAGTAGATAACTTAAAAACTAGAAGAGATATGTATACGGAACCCTGATACCGTTCGAAAGAGAATAAAATTGTGTATCAGAATATAGAAAAACATACAGGGTGTTCCATTTAAAAAAACCGACTTATGACTTACGAAACTCGGCATTAAATTTCTAGCACCCTGTATGCAATTAAGTCATTTTGAAAGTATGGATGGAAAGCTTAGGGTCTAGCTATCCCCCCTATAAATATTGTTGCATTGTCTTTCTTACTATAAAATACACATGGTTTGAAGCTAGTCAATGTTTCTCTCCATTTTTTTGAAAAAAATTAAATATCTCGAAAACGGTTAATTTTAGGAAAAGGAAAACTTCATAAAAGTCCACCTAAAATAACACGTAGAATCCAAAATTGCAATAATTTATAGGGTGTTGCATTTAAAATAAGCAAGTTGATGGCGACTTCCGGTATAACCGGAAGTGGGACGTGGACGCCATTATTTTAGTTGAGAAGGGCATGCCCGAAAACCCGGTATCCCAAATTTTCAAAATTCAAATCCAGGTAGTCGAAAACTTAAACTTCTGACAGTGACGTGTCGGTTGTGAGGCTTTATATTTCAGATCGTAATAGGTCAACCCATTTGCTTCTTCTACACCTTGCTTACTCATTACACAAAATAAAAGCCGCTAAATAACTTCACCGACCTCGCAATTAAATTAGCTAAGCCACTCTGCGAAAGAAAGTTTTATTTAATTAACGGCGGAGCGAGAATAATAGAAATGGGGCACGCCCGAATCGAAAGTGAAGTTAAAACTAGAGTAACAAGACACCGCCCGATGTAATTTTTCAAGTGTGTGCTGTAAGGTAAGAAAACTTTCTTTTCGCCATGCGGTTATGTTATTATACACATAAATGCGTGAAACGATACTGACTTCCTCTTAATATAAGATAATTTATAGACACGTAAAGAGCATGTAATCAGTGTATACCTCGTTGGGAATATATGCTTTCCTTTTCGTTACATGGGAAATGAATTAGATGCATGATATTTATCCATTTTGAAACCAAAAGAGTTTACAAACGATTACAAGCATAGCCGCAATATTTTTCCTTGCCATGACCTCAAGATTAATAGATCAATCAAGAAGATATTGAATGCTGATGAGGTTAACCAACCGTGAAAGAACTGAATGTATTTAAAAATTAGTAGATTACAATGATCACCAAATTTATTAATATCTCCTTGAAGCCTGCCATCACTTGTTCCCGTCAAAATAACTCTGAAAATGTTGATAATTTAGATTTTTTTTTGGTAAAAGTTTAAACAAAATACTTAGTTAATCTCAATATTAGTTTATTAAAAAATTATATTTAATCATTCCTATAATGTTCCATTACAAAAAGTTACAAAAGATGTTGGTATTTTGCAAAAAAGATTTTGTTAATTAACAAATTACTAGATTAATTTAAATTTTTATTTATTAACAAAATGCATATATGTGATGTACGCAAGAAGGTACCCCAAATTAAAAAAAACATCAAAATCGGTCAACAAGTTCCAGAGTTCCTTGCTCTATCAATTTGCTCGTGGATTTGTAGATTCCTCTTCCACTGACTCACAGTCATCTTGTATCGAAGTCATTATTTGGAGCATTCTCAGAGATGCTGTTACAAAGCTATCGTCCTCACAAATTTCACATAGAAACATTAGCTCTTTATCTTCGAAATGGCACTTATTAGAAGTCTTAATTGTTATAAACAAAGTAGCCGTGATTTTTTAAAAAAGAGTGTCTAACTTTGGCCCAAATTAAGATAGAGCAACTTTTTTTTAAATTTGTGTAAAAAACCAGCTTTACGAATATGGAAGAATAATCTTTCTAATTGTAATAGCAACAAATGTATTCTAATGGTTTATAAGACAAAAATAACAGTGTTTTTGTGGTACGTTTTGCACTGATAAAAAACAATTTTTTTTCAATAAAATAATTCCAATAAAAGAAGTCTTTCTCTTTCATATGACACCCGCAGAATTAAAATATCTTGGTAATTTTGCGTGTCAAGTTATTGCAAAAATAATGCCTCTGGGATAAACATTTAGAATTTTGCAAAAACTATTGGATGAATCGGTTTAAAATTTTAATCACATATTAAGGACTATAAAAGCAAACTATTGATGCAATATCAAAGTCGTAGGTTGACTTTTGCAAAACTTATTGTTTAATAATCGAATTTTGACAGTTTTTTGCAATTTCCCGAGCAACAAATTATTGTATCGGATTTAAAAAACCGCCATTTCAAAGGTTTTTTTTTATTCCCTACAAGTTGGTTACTTTCACATTATAATTTCAAATTATAAGTTATCGTTTTTTTCTGGTAGGCAAAAAGGTGATATTTTGGGTTATTTTAGACCTTTTATTGTTAATTATTAAAAAAACCTCACCTGATGGTGTGTGCGTTTTGCACATATTATACTAAAATTCACCTAAATTTTATGAAAAACTACAAATCCTTGGCTACTCAACAGTCACCCCCAGCTCATTTATTTTCCTCATATCCCTGGACTAGAAACTCTCCTTTTTAATTCTAACTTCAGTACTGCTGCTGCCAAATATGTTTGTCCTCAAAGTAAAATCAAATTTTTACATTTTATATTTAATCACGACTCTCAACGACCTGTATATGAAACCGTTCTAATTGTTTCTCCGAAGAAGGCGTCTGCCCTTATGCGAAATGATTTATTCATGTTCTCAATTTGGTTAAATTACAGTACAATCGTAATTGCTTGAATAATTTATATAAGAGAGAGGTGTGGATATACTTATTAAAGTAAGCTGTACCGTTCGTCTGCCTTCATTCTTTCACTATTTTAGACGATCTCCGGTTAATTAGTAAATTTAAAATCAGTATTTTATTTTTAAGTTACTTAAGTTTTAAGGCCAATCTTGCCGCAAACTGATAATAATAATTATGTATTTATTGCCCAACAGAATAAGTGTCCCAGTTACATAACAAAACGAGCAAAGGTTCAAGATATACAAAATGCACATAATACTCACATACGTAATGCTCATAATAAACAGTGGCGGCTCTTGACTTTCATACTAGGTGAGCGAAAAAATTTAGGTAAAAAATATTGAAAAAAATATAACTGGGTAGTTTTATTAAGTAGTATTGAAATATATGGAAAATGTGCGCAATTTTATTTTTTATAGTGAGAGCCCATTCTTCTGCTTTTGTCCCAAAATATACTTTTCAAATACTTTTTCATTAAAGTTTGATATATTTCGCACTACTGATTTTTCAATAGATAATATTTGCAAGTGCTATTAATCTATCTCTACAATCTAATTTAAACTTTTACAATCTTTTAGTTATCTGGATAACATTGTAAACTATTTTTTTTACTATGGAAATTTCTAAGAAAAACGGGCTCCAGAACCCCCTCACCAGCCGCCACTGATAATAAATAATAAATAAATACAAATATGTAGACTACAAATAGAACAGTAAAAAAAGAAGAGCTTTTGAGACAAAAGACCTTCACAGTACTAAATAGAATAATTCAACTTATCGTCAGCAAAAATTTGGGATTTTTTTTATCAATTAACAAAAAAATTACGACGAGTTAAAGTGAGAGGTATCAATTTTGTAGGCAGGAAACCGTGATTTTTTCAACATTTTCATTAATAACTGAAAAATGGGATAACGAAACTAACTGAAATTTTAATACACAATAGAGTAGTAGTGAGGCTATATTGTGGTCCAAATTTCAAATTTGTTTGCCCCTACGTTTTCTTAATATCGGTTTCCAAACTCTGGGGGTCTATTTCATTTATTTTGATAGTAGTTACATTCAAAAGTAACATCAAGTCTTTAGCAAAAAGTTGATGATTAAATTTGGGACAGAGATAAATCGTTAATAGATGAAATAGAAGGAAGTGTTCCTAAATTCAATCCTTGGAGTACTACAATATTTAAATAAAATGAAAACATGCGAGTAGTTCATGCAGAGAGACAGATTTTAATGAGAAACATCGGATTGTCACTTAACCCATAAAATCTTATTAAGAATTATGGTATTCATTATTAGCTTTGTTAAAGGCCTATAAGAAATCTGTATACACCACAACAATTTGTCCTTTGTTATTCTTATAATATGCTGTATACAGAGTAAACTAAGCTTAATTGGATATAGTAACGACAATGATAGTAATTGTAAACAATCCATTAGTTTGTTGAATCTATAGCTATCTTTTTTTTTTCATTATTGTATACCTTCTTAAAAGTTTATAATTTTAAACTACTTAATAAAGACTTACCAGCGTAAGAGAAGATAGGATGGTCATTGGAATGATTGAAGAATTTACTCCAGAAGCATAATGTGAACTGCTTTGTGTCTGGAATATTAGTTTTGTATTGGATATATTGGAAATACAAGTCTTGGGTGAAACCAACTTTGTAAACTTCACACTGGTCGCCACTACCTTGGTGATATCCTGTATCTCCACCTGGAAACATAAAGTCAAGTAAATTAGATGGTACAAAACATTTTGGAAACGGGAAAGTGGTACTAGTAGGATCACTTTTCATTTTTATTTTTATTTTTGCAAAATACTTATCACCCATTTCGACATTTTCTGATTTTGGATGATTTTGTGCAAATGAAATCATTTTAAAAGAAAAGTCTTTAAAATTTAAAATTTGTCACAATATTTCAAGGTTTCTAGACCCTTTATGAATCAGAAAGATGCCTAGAAGTTGTTTCCTGACATATTTCTATCATACGTACAAAGCGGCACCTCTATAGCCACTCTTAATCTTAGCATCAATGTGAGATCAAGAGCAGAATAACAAGTACAAATCATCAAGTCACCTGTAACAAGTCAACGCCTTCGCTGATGGCAAAGTATTAACCCTGGTTAATATCAAGTCACTTCCTGCAGTGACATAATACCGGTCAGTTCCTAAGTCTTTCAAACTGACTTCTACTTGACCCTACTAGCCACAGAAACACGCTCATTCCGATGGTATAATACTGACCGCCAAAGCTAGACGGCTTGGCGTGGAAGGAAGGCTTCGGCCCTGGGAAGAGGTCGCTCTGTTGGAACGGGTGCCAACCGTCAGGTTCATGGCCGCCCGCCATCGACGTCAAGACTAGACACAATCCTAAATATTTGTACATGATGTCCGGTGTTGCTTAGTTTTCCTTACCGCATATGTCACCAGCTTGCGACAGATGTCATCTGGAAATAAAAAAGTGGTACACTGAGAGAGAGTTTGAGAAAAATGCGATGATAGCGTAATTTGTTCAATGGAAAGTAAGTTATAATTATCAATAGCTTGTAATGTGTCTGGTATTAAATGTCGAAGCGACAAAAGAAATAAGTACTGCTAATGCCATAAGTTTAAAAGACTGCCTACAAATCACTTTGATTCATAAAAGCAATAAAACGTACTGTAGCTAACTTTCACAGCTGTAAGTACAGGGTGTTTGAAGTAATAGTTGCATGTTTTGTTTTCAAAGTACAATTTTTTTTACATCTCAGTATACAAAGTCGCTGATGTACAGGGTCGGAAAGTACCGATGGTCCATCTGCCGTTACGTGAGAGCGATAAGTAAGTCATAGAAATCCGTGCGATAGAGAAAGGTGGCTATAATGAAGGCATCTAATAGTCACCGCCCATTTCGCCCTTCCATAAATAAGAAGTGGATCTTATTTGTGGAAGGGCGAAACGGGTGGTGACTATGAGACGCCTTCATTATAGCCATCCTTTTCTATCGAATGGATTTCTATGTCTTACTTTATCGCTCTCACGTAACGGCAGATGGACCATCGGTACTTTCCTAACCTGTATATGGAAACGGTCGATTATCTCCCAAAGTAAGATAGCTATCGAAAACACAAACATTTTAGGGGTTTTTAAAATTTATTACAATAAAAATTAAGTATACAGAATCAGTCAAAAAGTCATAATGAAGCAAAGTAGCTTTTTCTGTAATGGAACACCCTGTATATTATTCCATATTTGAATTCTTCTCAAAATTCTAAACAAAATTCATATAACACATCATGTACCTAAACTTAACCGTTTTCGAGATATCGAGCTTTGAAAATCATTTATTTATAAATTATACAAAAATATTTTAGTCCATTAAGTTACCTTTGATAGTTTCTAGCTCCATAACAACACCGCGTCGTTCTTTTGTCTATAGTAGGATCATATTCGATGCAAAGTAATAAATCATTGCCTGTCAAGGGATTCAGTGCAGTACGGTTTTAAGGGGTTTAGAAATTGAATGATTTCTTTATGCATTATGAAGGGATGAAGGGATCAGTTCACGTCTGCCACCCTTGTTCCTACAAAAATTCCTTTATTCTCATAACTATTTATTTTAAATGTAGTTTATTATAAATCAAATTTGTTTTTTAAATTCCACATACCTATGTACTACATTTTACCTCCGTACGCGCCACTGTTGTTTACTTATTTTTTGGAGGCGGTCTCTGATTTACGACCAAGCTCGCCAGTTTAGTATTCGATATATAACCGACTCGATGCACCTGGGCGACTACAGCTGCTACCAGAACACAATGCATATGATGCGGTATTTCAGATTTTGCATTCAATTTCATTTTAAATTTGAAATGGTTCATCTTACGCGTCCTAAAAATAATGACACCATTTTCCTTTGATAAAAGACCGATAATTTTTTGCTCTATTTTGTATCGAATACGATCCTACTATAATAGTGATTATCTTGACAACACATGTCAATTTAGTGTGAATAATTTTCTCGCAAAAATGACATGTTTTAATGAAACCGACCGCATTGAAGTTTTAATGATCGTAGAATTTGCCGATAGAAGACAAAGTTGTGACGAAAGAGATATTTTCATGAATCGCATCTCGATCGGGGACGTATTTCTAAAGCAACCTTTTAAAAAACATTGCAGCGGTTTCATGAAACTCGAGACAGACAGATCTGCGAAAAAGTGGAAGACCAGTAAGTGTTACAAATGAAGAAAATTCTTTGAATATACTTATAGAAAATCCAATAAATTCGACACAACAGAGGGCTTTCAATCATAACATGAGTCGATGTTCTAATAAATTAAACGAAAATGTCAACTTTGTCACCCAAATAGTATTGTTTTCTGATGAAGATGTTTAAACGAACTCGTAAACCGACACAACTGTAGGTATTGGTCAGATTAAAATCCACATTGGATGGAGGATATTCACACCCAACGATCACAGAAAATAAATATTTGGTGTGGCATTATTGGTGGACAGTGGACACGTCATAAGACCCTATTTTATACACGGAAATTTGACCTCTGAACGATATTTATTACTTTTACAAGAACATATTATTCCAGAGCTTGGACGATTATTCCCGAACAGTAACAATCCCGATTTACCGGCAGAACAAATAGGGTTTCAGCATGATGGGGCCTCCTCCACATTTTAGACCTGTGGTACGGGCATATCTAGATGAAACTTTTCCTATGATAAATGAATTGGACGCAGAGGGGCAATTGAATGGCCAGCTAGGTCTCCCGATATGACTCCGCTTGACTTTTTTCTGTGGGTTCATATAAAAAATGTAGTCTACAAAAATAGGTCTCAGAATATCGAAAGGAAAGGATAAGGAATGAAATTTCCACTGTTCCTCCCAACACCCTTTAAGATTCACTAAAAAATTTTGTTCAGCTAATTTATTACTGTCAGGAGGTAAATAGTGAACAATGAGCACCTTATAAAATAGAATTCCAAAGAAAATATTTGTTGTTTATTAAAACTTGTTTTCTCTCCTTTTTTGTATTCTGGCATAACTATTGTTTTCATAAAATTTAAAATATCCTGGACATTCATTAAAAATATATATTTTTTTGTTTCATACATTTTTATCGACCCTGAAAAATAAAATAAAATCATATCCATATCGTGAAGAATTGAAATATGGAATAATATACAGGGTGTTCCATTAAAGAAAACTTTGTTTCGTCTTGACTTTTTGACTTATCTTGTATTTTTAATTTTCTTTATTGTAACATAATAATAATAATAATAATTTTTATTTCCTCTAAGACAAAATACAAATTTGTATAGGAATTGTCAAAAATCTACAGAAAAAGTTTTACGGCAATAACAAAACGGAAAAGATCTATCAAATTCCGTTGCATCATGCTATTCGGCATCAGATTTCCCAAATAGTCTTTTATCTACATACAAGATTTCCAATTTTTTCTAACCCTTGTCTCAGTGTATACTACATATGTAAATATGTAAATGCGTCCGTAGTTTTGATAATATGTTTAAATTTGTAATGCAAATCCAAGTTTTTTGGGTTAGTATTTTGTGATGAATTATGGATATTCGTCTTCTGCCTCGGCTTATAGTCAGATGAGATAGGTCTAATTTACATTTTGTCGGTATACTTAACTCGTATGACAATTTAATCATAGCGTAAACGCGATAGTGGAATTTTCAATATGATAGTAGTTATGTCATTTAATTTATGAACGATATTATTTTACTCGGACACAAAAACCGAAATCTCGGCATTTACAGATGTACTAGTTCTAGGATTTAATACTGTTGGTGAAGGGAAATATGTAGATACCTAATTTTAACTAATCCATTTTACGCACGTATTTATTATAAATCAAGGTAAGAAGTCACTTAAAATTAGTTTTCTCTGTATATACAACGAGAATGTAGCATAGAAGGTCACGAACGCAATTTTGTCCGCACAGGAAGATTAAAACAGCTTAATAATTTTTTTTTGAATAAAACTATTTCCAATAACAATTTACGCAACACTATGACTTGCATGTTTTGAATTATTAATATTTTTAGTACATTTTTAAAAAGTTCAACGACAGTCACAAGATATTTACGCTGACCTCTCTGTTACTAAAAAAATAACTACTGAATATTTATAAACTCGCACCTGTTCGTATGTGAGAATACAATAAAAAAAAAATTAACACTAATTTACCTCGTTATCTTTTTTTAGTAATGAACGATAATAAGGAAATGTTACATAAAAGGCCTTAGCCTTGATTGTTTGTGTTACTTGTGGATACACATAAATGGAATACGTAGGTCATTACATTTATAGCAATTAATTAAATTATAATAAATTATTTCATATAAATTAGTATGCTAACGATTGGAAATGTTAATGCTGCTGCATCGTAATCCTTTTAATTCTATGATTAACACTCGTAAGCAGTTAGAAAAGAAGAAATTTAAATTTCTTGTAAATACTTAAGGAGAATTTATTATATTATTAATGCTTCGTTTTAGTAAAAAAAATCAAATTCTTTCCATGCTTTTCACTCAAATTTTCCGACAACCTTAGGTTTTGTTGAATAAGAAAGTCAGTTTAGGAATTGATTACGGTGAATAAAATTCGTCATTTAATAAGTATTACAACCAATTCGTTTTTTAAATATTGCTATAGAGGTCGAAACACTGTTAATTTTCACAATCGCCAGCATTTCTAGATCAATAATTCCTCTACTTAATACGTAGACTATTGTGTAATCCGTAAAAAATTGGGCCATACCCAAGTTAGGGTATCTGGATTGATTATTCTCTTTCCTCATTTATTTCTCTCAATTGAGCTGATTATGGAATTCACTTATACAGGGTTTAAATCAACTTTTAATGATCGATTCTATGACACAAATTAATAAAAAATTAAGTAAAGTTTAGTGCATTCTACAAACAACAACACATTTTTTAAAAGCCTTTGATAATTTGTAATAATAGCGTATCAAATTTGAGGTAGCTTTGGAAAAAAAAAGATATGCGAACAAAAATTGATATACCCATTCCTGTAACTACTAGAGGGTATTACAAATTAGTAGGTCAAGCAGTTAACCACATATTCTTTGGATTAAAGTAATGCGATTTTTCTTATGTCATTTTTCATTTCAAAGCCTCATTTTCAAAATTCAGGGTGTCAAAATTAAAATTTATAAAATTATTTTTATTGATAACTCCGGTGATTGTAGAGATATTTATGTGAAATTTAGCATATATTTTGATCTTAAGTCGACACACTTATTGTGTAATTTTGATTTAAAATATCAAAGCGCGAACGGAGGGAAAGGGGGTTGCAATACCCACAGATCCCCTTTTTTTTTGGGCACGTCTATGCTTTCCAAATATTTTTTATTCATATATATATATAGCGGAGTTTTATTCTATTTTTTTCGCTATTGTA